AATAAATTACTTAGAGGTACTAGAAAGCAGGAATCGGTTTCTTGCTGTTTAGGATTTGCAAGTTTCTCTCATAATAAAAAGTTGAGGAATCCAGACACACACAACGACAGTGCATGATTCCAAATAAGCCCATTTCTGTGATGTTGCTTTCTTCCATCTCTGACTACACAAAGCTCCCATATATTCAGTCCTTCTTTCTGAAAAACAGCATCCTTGAGTGGGTGAGGAAAACTTTCTCAGGCCGCATGGACGATGCTGAAAGGAAAGGATCTCACACCACATCTCCATGAACATTTCTGACACTTGTAGGCTGGCACTGCTGCTTTCTCCAGCCACTTGCTCTCATTCTCTTGCCATCACCATGAGTGCTTTCTGACCAAGTTTAACCAAATCATAGCCCACAAAGAATTTACCCAAGGAAAGATGCCAATGGTTTTTCCTTTAGCAGTAGCTGGTATCACATATGTCCATGACCCATGACAGCATAGGATATAGAGGTGACCTTGCCCAAGCACCATCATGGTTGTATGTAGCATCATCTACAAGCCCTGAAAGGTGATGATGAAAATGCACAGCAAAATAAGGAGCACTTTTAAGCAATTTAATCTGTTAAAAAGTGCAATTTAATCTGTTAATAAGAAAACAGATGCTTTTATCTTAGGTTAGTTTTGGCTTTGAGTGGAAAGAAGTTTGTAAAAGGATACAGCAGTTCAAGGTGTTTTTCTTTCCTTTTCATTTTGAACTACCAAACACACCCTAAGGCAGATTCACTCCACCATCACAGTCAATGTAATTATCTTTGTATCAAGAGTTTACATGCTGCTTGTGATTAGTTTAATTTATTTAAATTTAATTTATATGAAACTGTGTTCTTCATTTACATGTTGACTAAGTTTTAAGATTAGTTTTAAACAAGAGTAACATTACTTTAAATTAAGACTACTGATTTTAGATCAGGTTAGAATCTAAATACATCAAACATAACTATTCTGCTACCTTATAAGATTTTAAAGGCTTTTCAGCTTGAATGACTTGTTTAATTTATTTAACACAGTGATTTGTAGCCCATATATGAAAAAATTATAGTGACATTTAAAAAAGTCTGTGTCTGAGTCTTATAGGAGAACTTGAAAAATGGCTGTACAATACTGACAAATTTGCTCCTTTTGTATTAAAAAGCAATGGGTTATAACCTGGGCAAGAGAAAGTACCTGAAAATATTCTTTAATCAAGATAAATGCTAGCAGTTACTTTCAACACAAGTATTTTCAAAAGAGATCAGCCATATCCAGACAGAGGCTCAGCATCCCTGCTTAAGCTGTGAATCTTTTGTTTTGCTTCTAGTTCTGGGCAACATGACTCCCCTGGGTGATACTTTGACCATCCTTGCTGGATGGTTCTTGCTATGAAGGAACTAATGTAGCCTGAGAAACTGCTCTGTGCCTTCCATGTATGCTGAACTAGGTTCTTGCTTTTGCCCAGCATCACCCCCATCTCTTTGGGGTGTATGGACCTCAATGTCCCACCTGTTTGAACTCAAGTTATGCACCCCAAAATTTCAAGTTATTTTGAGTACTGGAGAGAGATTATTACATGTCCTTATCCATCATGGAGAAACAATAAATCTGGCAGACAATATCACTATGTGTCTTAGATGACAAACACAGCAAAAATTTAGAAATTTTACAGGCCTGTAGTCATTCACTTCTGAGTCCAAATTGTTTAACATTTTTCAAATATTAAAAGTTTCAAGAATCCTCATTCTACTGATATAAAAGCCTTGTGTATTCCCCATTGTGTTTTGGGGTCAAATAGGTACATTCCTGTACAGAGCCAACAAAAGCAATTGAAATAACACAGTCACCCAAAAATGGGGAAGAGTGTACCTCCTGCTTTTGTCATGATTCCTCCTTTCAATATATCATCCAACGTTTTCTTCCTTGCAATCAAATATACCTGCAGCCGAGGAGAGGCACCTCAGCATTCAGGCACCCTTCCTGGCTCCCTCCTATTCTAGACCACACAAAACCAATGGCATCTGGTCAGTATGTTTGGCTAACTTTGGATTTCCTTGCCACCATGCCACTCACCATCATCTAGTTCCAAAATCAAGGACATACAAATGCAAAACATTAGGTTGCCTTCTATTTAGAAACCTTTCCTTTTAATTTCAGCTTTTTTTTCCTTCACCTGGAAATCAAGAATATTAAGATGCAGGGTTAACTAGCAAAACACAGATAAAAAAATCCAGCAATCTTCATAATGGTCAAAACATTCATATTACTGTGGGATACTACAAATTTCCACCCACTCAGTATCTCCTTAGACACAACTGAATTAATGAAAACAAAATGAGAAAAAGATCACAGAAAGCTACTGCAACTGCACAGTTTGGGGGTTCTTAATTTTCTTCCCTCCTTCCTTACCTCAAGAAGCACTACATTTTCTCCACTGGAGTTATCATGGCAAGAAAATTTTGCACTGAGGAATGTTCTGCTGGACACTGGCCCAGACTACTTTCAGCTCAGTCAGTAGAAGGAAGCAAGGATATCTTCTGACTTCAATGCTCCCCCTCCTCCCTCACTTCTCATCTGTTAGCTCATGTCCTACTTCACACGCAGATGATCCTCCAGGATCAGCTTTCCACTGCCCACATCTCAACTTTCTGGCTTCACGACTAGCGCAAGGCAGAGCTCCAGCTCTTAACAATGCTTGCACAGTTCCTTGTACAGGTACTACTACTTTTTGTTCTGGTTTATTACAGAGGTTACTAGAAGTAAACATACGGTATTTGCTATTTTCTATCTCTAAGCAGGTTATGCTGAATGTTATGGCTGGGTGAGGTCAAAGGCCTTACAGAAATTTGAATTAAATGAGTAAGCAGATCAAGACAGTCAAACAGTGGTGCTGAGAGACTTTGTAAAAAAAAAATTAAAAAACGGAACCAGTCAACCCCTCACCAAACACCCCCCCAGATAAACAAAAGCAAACAACAAAACCCAAACCAAACCAAAATTTCCATAAGGGAGTTTTTTCCTGTCCATGGGAATTTTATTGGGGTATATAGACAGCATATAGGCCCACTGTTACATCAGTCCTGCTGACACTTCAGCAACTTCTTCACCTGAATAGCTGCTTATAAGAAGGCTGTGTAAAAGTATAATTGAAGACACCATCTGGCCTGCACAACTTTTATTACTGGCAATAACAGAAGATTACTACCTACCAACACTGCAAATCAAGTTAAGAGAATTCTGTAAGAGTTCCATAAGATACAAATAATGAAATATTTTTTTATGAAATATACAGGGATTTGTCTTCAAAGGAGAGATCTGTTTTTATCAAAGTGAGCATTCTTCACTCACCCACTGTCAATTATGAAACAATAGAGCCCCTTTAAAAAATAGAGCTTAAAAATTTGAAATTTTAATAGCAGTCAGGAAATTTCAAACATCAACATCACCAAAGTAACTTCCCACCCAGTCAACTTGTACATATTTAACATTTTTCAACTTCACTCTCCCTTGTTATATAGCAGACCACAATGTTATAGCAATTACATTTTGTTTTAAATGCACTTTATAGCATACAATATATTATACAAAATTAATAGCATGGTAAAGAAAATATGGTTTGCATTTGATTTCGCCGTTTTAATCTATTAACATCACTAGTTCCTCATTATCCTTTTGATATATTTCCAAAGGGAAAAAATCCATTTAATGAAACAATGGGTGTAAGTTAGACTCATTGCTTCTGAGAACACGCACACCACTTACCTGGTCCTGATCCTCAACCATAAATCCTGTTAAACTTCAGACTTTGTCAGTTTAATGCACACAGCAACTTGCCTCAGATACTTGTAGATTAATTTAAAGCCGCAGTTTTAGACAAACAAAAGTTATGCTTGTGTTAAGAACAGATAAATGCCAAGTTGTCCTACCCATGTGTATTACAGGTTGACACATCAGCATCATGGAATGTTTTGGCTACTTACAGAGAATAGAGAAGACACTGAAAGCATCAGGTCTGGAACTTCACCAGTTCACCAGAATATTCAGTTTCAAGGGTTTCATCCTACAGCTGCTGGACATCTTGCTTCAAAAAGGAAAAATAATTATTATTCTCAGTAACATTACCCAGTCAGGACTGAGGGACCTCAGCAGAAAAAGGCAAGTTTGGCATGCTTAGCTCTTACCTGTCTGAAACACTCCTGGGAGTCAGCAAGCAGTCCCATGGAAGTCGCCTGGATTTTGAGAAGTTAAACAAAAACACTGCTCACAAGACAGCAACTCGATGGCTCTCAGTCTTCTAACCGGATTATAGGTGGGATTTCTTTCCACTCTCAGGAAAAGGAACACTAGCAAAAGGACTGTGTCAAAGCCAGATCTTCCCTTTTTTGAACTATTGAAATGATACGATCTTGTTTACTGACTGCAGTGAACCGGGCGGGGGGCTATCAGCATGCCGACAAGACTCGCAGCCTACCCCAAGTCAATTCACACTACTGCTAGAAAACGCACAGGCAAAATACCAGTCCATTTTTTTTTTTTTTTTATTTTGGAGACGTGCCACGAATTCCCGATTCCCGGTGTGTGACGAAGGATGGGTGTGTGTGTGGGTGTAGGGAGTCAGCAGAAAAGTTGCTCGGTGCGCGGAGCGGGGGCTCCGCGACCCCCTCAACTTCTGGGGACGCTCCGCAGCCCCTCGGCGCCGCTCCCGGCGCTGGAGCCCCTCGCCACGGACACGCCGGGGCTGACCCTCATTCCCCGGGGCCGGTCGGCGCTGAACGTACCGGGACGGCCGCGCCGCCGCCTCCGGCCCCGCCGCTCCAAGTCCCGGCGCCGCGGGGCTGGGCGGTGCCGGCGGGGAGCGGCTGCTGCCGGGGCCGCGGCGGAGATCCGGCTGCCAGCTCGCCCACCCTCCGCTCGTCCCAGGTGGGCTGCTGCCCCTCACCTGCCGCCGCTCCCGGGACGCTCTTCCTTAGCGACGCCTGCACAGAAACTTTCCTCGCCGAACTTCGCGGCCGGGCGGGCTGGGGAGGGGCCCCGGCGGGCAGGGACGCCCCCGGCCGCAGCGGGGCAGGTGAGTGTCCCCGGCCATCCCCGTGCTCCCGCTCCGCCCGTGACATCACGCTCCCTCCCCGCCGCCCGGAGATGAGGAGCTTTGCTAAAAGGTTTTGTTTGCTGCTACATACGCAGGGGTAGCTCTCCCTGTGCTAGCGAATAAATATGTCTAAGCTGCCAGGTAGAGGCAACTCATCTCTTTAATTAGCTACTAAAACGGGTAGTGTAGAAACTTTATTGTCGTCTATGGAAAACAGGATGACAGAGAAAAATGTTTAATTAGTGCTTATTGGAGCTTCACGTGTGCCTTGCAAACCTTATCTGCTTATTGTGACAATAGACCAACCATGTAGATAAATGGCATTATCTCTCTTTAACGGGAATATCTCTTTGCTTACATTTCTTCAGGGGAGTCCTTGAAGAAATAGCTCTTGCTAAGGTGGGGTAAGCACAGAGTAGTTCTGACTTTCCAAAGCCGCGCTCAAACGACTTCTGTCAGTGTATCTCTCCTTTAGGCATTTCCCTGCAGGGCTGTGTTCCTAGAACTACCTCAGAAACAGACACTCCTAAAATGCTCCCTGATTCACTGCCCCATTACTCACTTATGGCATTCAGGCCTCTCCTGGAGTAACAGTAATGTAACCATTCATGTTTCTGCAACATCTTTTACTCCGACAGGTCTCAAATCATCTCCCGCGCTGTTGGGACAGCACGCAGCGATCTCTTCCCCAGCCAGCGCAGCACCGCCTCCGGTAGGAAGCTAAACAACGCCCACCAGCTGAAACCCAGCGTTCCAGAGCAAGAGGGTAGGGAGCTGGGTGCTGCTCAGATTTCCAAGGGGGCTGAGCTAGGCAGAGAGTGTAATTACCCTGTCCAAAGCTTAGATGTTGAAAAGTGCTCCGGGATCTGTAACGGCCATAGGCAGCCAAGACCTGTGTGCAGGGATGTTCCCTTGGATTTTCAATCCTGGCGCTAAACTGTCCTGCCCTTGCTTAGTTTGGGTTGTCTGAATACATATAACCTCACCGTGGTGCTATACATTTTCTCTGGTTTATCTCACTTAAGGGTCTCCCTAGTCACAGTTCATTATAGGAGCTAGTAGCTCAGAGAAAGCCTAGGGAGAGAAGATTTTTCCCTTAAACCCAACCATGGATCCATTTTAAAGTTCTAGTGAGTAATGAGTATTTCTCACACCTGTAGCTTGTCTGGCTACCCAGTAGAAATAAAAGGGCAGGAAGGAGAGTATGAAGTAGAATATGGCACTCTTTTGCTATTTCAGGGGAGTTGAGCATATTTCCCCTTTTAGATAACCTGGCAGGCATGTGATCCCATGTTAACCATATGCCTTAACAAAAAAAAATGAAACCTCATATTTAAATTATGGCTGTATTAGTCCCTGATGGCCGGTGAGATTTTAGAGAAAAACAACATGCCAACTGAATTTTGGTTTCCAGATGTAATACACTCAGAAGATTGTAATGAGGGTCACTGAAGCTTCTAGTAAGGATATACAGATTAACCTTCTGGGTGTTGTTGATTTAATTTCACTCAGTAAGTACATGCAGCAAACATATGTCTTCAGATTGATCTACTCAGGCCGTATCCATCAACTAAATAAACTTATATATAACACTGAATAGATCATATGTCTTTATTTTTATTTTTCTTCAGTTAATGGAATAAATTAATTGCTTTGCGATAAAGCCAAGTCTTGTTTTACAACTTAGTAAAAAAAACAACCAAACAAGAAAAACCCTAAACCATAAAGAACTCCAGACTATTGCACTTAGTTTTGATAATAATTGTGCCACACAGATTGTCCTGGTGTGGAGGGTACAGTCCAGCTATTGCTATAAGAATCTTTGCCAGATTAAAGATTAAAAATTCAACATGCAGGTGAAATTAGACACTGGATTAGGAAGCTCATCAACTACGTAATTGTAATCAGCACCTTCTGAAGCCTGACATATAGCAAAAAAGAAGCAAATTACAAAAGGGTGGCGGCAGTCTGTCTGTGGCAGCAAGGCTAGTGTGGAGCCAGTGCCTACATCAGACACTCTTCTTGGCAGGTTTCTGCATGTTTCCCTTGAATTCTGGTAGATGAGTAGCTCAAGAGTTAAAGAAGCAGCATCATCCTCTGAAAGCAGTGAGACAACAGCCAGGTGGTGATGCCTTCTCACAGGAGCTGTCAGTGCACTTAGAGAAGAAAGGCAACAGGTTATGAAGCGAAACTGCAACCTGCCAAAAATTAGAGGTCAATTTGCTGAAATAAAACCACCTTTACTCCACAATGAGACCCATTTAGGCTCTTCATACACTTCCTGTGTGGATTTTCAGGAACAGCCATTGAGGAAAGTGTGGTGTGGAGGGAAGGTAGGTATGTCACAATAACCCAGACTTAGAGCTGCTTCTCCATGGACTGTGCACTGTGTATGGCCCCTAAATTTGTGGGTGCTCAAACCATGGGGCAGAAACCATATATATCATTACTGTAATCTGTTAATGAGCCCCCATCACTTGCTGAACATTCCACCCAGCCTAGGTTTCCATTTTTCATTTTTCAAAATCTTCTGCAAAGCTAGTGCAGATACACACATTTCAAGGATTCAGAATTTGAGATTCTTATGTTTAAAGAAAAATTTCATATGAAAACCCTGGCTTATGTAGCAGGGCCTGTTTGGCCTGATCTTTTTCCAAAGGGGAAGGATTAGACCTTCAGAGACATTTTTAGATTAGCCAAATTCATTCCAAGTGCTGTTATAATTTGCTGCACTGACTTTTTAGGACAGGCCACACTGGCATAGTTTTAGTGTGTTACATATAAATGTAGAGCCCATGAAACAAGCCTTTGGTGATTAAAAACATTTTATCATTATGAAGGTGTCTTTTGCTCCAGGGTACAAACCATTCAGCAAGTAGTTTCATTTTATTTCCTTGAGCTTTTTTTCATTTTCAGCTAATTAGCTAGAAATACACCACCTAAAATATTCCCCTTTCCTCAGTTAGGAGGCTAAAATTTTCCTCCACCAAGCATTGCTATGGGGCATTTGCTTTGTTCTTTTAAAAAACTGCTAGCAACTTGGTATAAAATTAATTTGCTCAGTAACTAGTATGCTGGGGTAATTATCAAAGCCTTTCTAACCAAGCTGTGTGCCCATTCAAAAGTATTAGGCAATTCAAAATGTCTGTGGTTCTTCAGCTATTACAAAGTTTTGTTTTTAAGCAGTATCCAAAAACTTGACTTAAACACTTCAATGAGTTGACTGTGAAGCTATTTTATCCTAATGGGCTCCTGTTCTCAGAAGACAGCCAAAAGTAAACAGTAGCAGCATTTTTTTTTTTTTTCCTGAAGGTCGGTACATTATCTTACTCCAATTCTAAAATGTTTTTCAAATAGCAGATGCTACTCTGTCAAGTGCTGCAGGGCTACAAAATGCATTAGGATGTCCTGAAAAATTTCTTTCTATAAAAAAAAAAAAAAAAGTGAATTAATTCTGTATTTGAGTGACTGGTGAGGAATTCCATTAACAGGTGTGAATGGAAAGGTTGAGATCAGCTCCCTTTCTCTTACTCCCTCTGCTCTAGCTTTGAGTGAACAGGGTTTACGTGAGTGTGCATGCTCACATAAATATGATGTGTTTATATCTTAGAGGAGGTGTATCAAGTTTTACAGACTTGACACAGAACCTTTCAAGACAAGACTGGATAGACCCCTGACCAACCCAGCCTGACCCTATGGCTGACCTAGTCATGTGCTGGAGCTGGGACTGCAGGTTTCCTGCCATCCTGTCCTGTGTGAGTTGTCCTATGACGTCTTCCTGGTTAACCCATCTAAAAATCAGGTCACATTTTTTTCCCAAAATGGTCTCATCTAGTTACAAAAACGAGGTTTGAATGCCCTCCACAGAATCACAGACCACAAATGGCTGAATGAAATCCTTAATTAGTGTCAGAATGATTTCTGTTGAAATGTGGTTTGTAAAGGAGGAAGTTCCTCTGAAAAAAAAGTCTGTTCTTCCAGGCCTTTTGCAATATGTTTGCAAAAGCTATGTAACATTGTAATTTCTAGTTTGTCTTATTCTGGAGAAGAGGAAACATTCTTCTTTGTTCCACCAAATAATGCTTGATTATGGTGTCTCCTGGAATAGAATAGCCTATTGTAGCAGAGAGCTAAACTGTAAACTGGGAGATAGTTTTTTTGATCTTTCAGTTCTTGTCACCACACAAAATGAGTTGAAAAAACCCCTTAACTGTGTGATTTAAATGCTTTAAAAGCACCCGTAAAGATCTTGAAGGCTATGTTCTTGTCTTCCAATTTTCACTAAAGGATACTGTTGATCTTCTCCATCCTTACTATGACATTTAGATTTCTCTAAATCTCTAAGCAGCTACAAATGACTGTTCTTAGGTATTACAAGGACTGAAAAAAACCCCCAAAAAAAACCCCACACAAACCATTCAAAAACCTCTTTTAGACCAATTTTACAATCTTTCACGTGACTACTAAATGCCAGAGAAGTAAATTCTACATGTTGCCCTTTGGTCTCTACACATCCCCTGAATGTGAGACAAACAAAATTCCCTTACTCCCAACAACACGCTTGACAGTACAGAGTTCTGCACTAATTCAACATCTGTTGACAAGCTGTCTATATAATTAGACAGAGAAACTGATTAATGAAACTGAGGGTACCTCCAAAGTAATTCACAATCTGTTGAAATAAGACACCATACCAGTAAATATGCAATTCCAGTGTTCTGGTTCCTCTTGCACCCTAAAATACCTGGAATGAAAAGCAGAAATACAGTGACATGACAGTCTAGCAGCTGTCATGAAGCTAAAGGAGGACTGAATGAAATAAAACAATATGGGTTTTTCCTCACCACTGTCAGCATTGGACTATGTATTGAATGTTTGCATTGCTCATTAAGACCAATGGACATATCTTGAATCCATTCTGACATCTTGGAATCAAATACCGAGCAAATTATGACATTATGGTATTCATATATGCCAGGAAAAAAAAAAAAAAAGTTCCTGAGAAATTCTAGGACAAGGGAAGGTGGAAAGTAGAATAAATACTAGGCAGTCTGGCAACCATAGTATGTAAGAGACAGAAAAGAACTAGAGATTAAAAAATTACCCAATATCTCATGTGAACATTAGTCCCAAATGATTGGTTGTTGTGTAATGGTTCACATATGGCCAAGTGTGGGGACTGCTTTTGCACCTCCACAAGGTATTATACAGTGTCAGACTAAGGAAAATGAGGTCAAATATTCTATACTGGAGGTAGACATGCTGGCCAGCCTAAGACTTGCAAGAAATTTCACTGCTTATCACACGCACCTCCCTTTAGCTAGAAGCTGGGGTACATATAAAACAAAAGACAGTTTTTCAGGGGGAACAACCAAGTTCTTAACCTATTATTGCCTGTTTTATGCAAAAAAATATTCTCACAGCTGGGTTTTTAGATGAAGATATTTCACTGAGACAATGGTGATTGCTCTGGTGGGTCATCTTCTTTTAGCTATAAAGTTTTAGTTGAACTGTGCTAATGTAGCTAAATCTGCTGGCAGTATTTGATGGAGTTGTTCATCAAGTGGTGCTGTTTAACATAAGATCTAGCAGGGTAGATAAAGCTGCACATCTCATTCTCTTGACCCTTTTACTCTTTTACCCTTTTTCTAGACATGTCATTGCTTAGATTGGTGCTCCTCATTCTGGGAATATCCCCATGAATTTGAAACTCTTCATTAAGACTGGGATATGAGACGGATTTGAGAGTCAGCAGCATACATGGGCAATAAAACTCTGCGTCTTCATTACAGCATGATCAAGCTTCCCAAACATTAAAGTGTATAACTTCACACACTAAATGGAAGAGTCGCCTGGGAAAACTAACATGCCTCTAATGTTGGACTGTTCAAAGAGAAAGAGATCTGGAAAAGCTGTGTCAGCTCAGGCTGGGAACTAAGCTTGGAGCAATTCTGGAAACGTGGGTAACGGCAGAAAATTCTCTAGCCGGCGGCATTTCCCTCCTGTCACATACCCACAGCCGTTTTTCCTGCCCTCAGGCCCCACTGCTGCAAAATGCTGTACAAAAAAATGCAAGTGAATGCCATGATGGAGCTGCAGGATCATAAAATCCTAACACATCTCACAGGATTCCCGCTAATTTCCCTTGGCTCGGCTCAGCTCAACTGTATATAAACCATGCACTCCAGGATTTGGCTTACTTTCTCTTAGTAATTAGGTTTCACAGGAAGGTTTTTCTTTATTTTTAGGAAACTTTTCCTCATAACTAATATAACTTTCCTCTGTTTATTTCATGTGCTTTTCTTCTTCTTTTCCCAAAGGACACAGGATAGTTCACTACCTTTTTTGTTAGAATATTACATGGTAAATTCCTACCAAGGAAACCACAGCTCAAAGCATATTGTTCCCTTAACAGGAAGCAATCATCCTTCACCCTATGTTTGAATGCTGCAATGAATTTATCTTACTCATTAATCCAGTGCAAGCCACCTTTTTTCTGTCTCTGTCTCACTGTAACCTGCTGAACAAAGGTGACTTTCTCAAGGATGCTTTAAAACAACCCATTCTCCAGGACTTTCTTTAAGCTTGTATCCACTA